ACGGATAAAATATGCTATAAATATTTTTTGACTTACCCAAATTAATTGGAAAGCGAAGAAGTTTTTCCTTATCAATCTTTTGGTAGGAGCTACGAAGATTTCGATAGTTTCATGCCTAGATTATTTAGAAAAATTTACAATCGGTGGATCAGATTGGATCAATAATTATTATACATTCAGCGTTTTTTCACGATGACTCATTCATATATGATTATAGAGTAGATAGCATAGTATGTCAATTAAAGTTTCAAAGGAGAGTTTTCTATGTTGCATCTTGCGCAGAAAATAATTCTACGGAAGACTAATTCTAATAATTCTAAAAGACAAAGCCTTTTTTTTTCATGATCAACATCGACCTCCATGCCCAGTAATTGCCCACCACTATCCTCCATTGCCCTCCACTGCCCTCCACCCGCCTCTACTGCCCTCCACTGTCCTCTACTGCCCACCACTGCCCACCACTGCCCTCCACTGCCCTCCACTATCTCAGCCCTAATTACGGAATAACGTAATGCTGAACATTGTCTCGAGTTTCTCACCAAAAGAGACCGGACTTCTCATTAAAGTTTTCATGATCAGATTAGTTTAGACTTTAGACCTTAGAACATTGACATCTTAGAAAGGGTAATCAACTATACTGTTACCAGATATAGTTTATTAACAGTTCTAGCTCTCATTTTGGCATCGCAAGTTGAAAGAATTTCAACGCAGTCTGTGATCAATATTATCCCCCTTTTACTGGTCACCGATAACGATATAACGACCTTCTGCTTGGGTAGCTGCTGTATATATATTCCAGAGGCTCTTGCTTCATGCTCAAATATTTAGGTCCGACGATACGGTACTCACAGCAACGATTTCTACATAATTGAATAAAGATGCCAGTCTATGACAGTCAGACCTTTACCACAGATCATTTACTAAGGAAGTGCTGCGCTGAATTTCATGATTTCATACACCAGACACATGGTTACAGAAATGAGAATACCGGGCTTGCTAATTAGTCTGAAACACGTCAATTGCTTTGTTTGTGAACGTTAGACCGAACTTAACCGTTAAACTTAAGACCGCGGTGCAACTCACGGATACGAAGCTGAAAGATTAAACCAAAACGTTAAAAGTAATCATTTCTCAGAAAAATTAATGGGCTATGGTGTCCAAATGGGGACGCACTTTCTTGCACAGTACATACAGAGAGGACGTAGCACTAGTTCACCCTTTTTACTTGTGTAGGTCAGACTTACTCACACATGAGTGAAACGCGTATTCAAATTTATACAGAGTCTCACTCATTACTCTACGTGATCAGGCGTCAATGTTAAACATCAACCGACGTTCGGCGTTAGCGTTTGGACTAGTTAGACGTCATTTTCCAGTGTCAACGTTTATATTCAACGTTCGGAGTCAACGCTAGTTCCCTATACAACGTACCCGTAATGAAGAAATAAAAATAAACTGAACGTCTTCGCGAATCTAATTCAGAGGAGAGTTTTAGTTATGACTGGTCACAAGCGAGAGGGCACAAAGCGAGAGGGATCGACATTGTCACCTGACAGTGTTACCAGCGGCGCTCCATGCGTGTGCTGGTCCTTCTTAATATAAATAATCACGATTATGGGACATGTCATCGTATTAAATATAATCGTTGTTCGTAACAATTTATATTGAAAGGGTTGAACGGAACTTCCTTGTTAACATGCTCATTAATATTAGGTGTCATAATATTATTAAATAATGTCTCAGAGTATATCTATAACACATTTCAAGCTATTTACAGAATAGATTTTACAATTAATATCGTTTCATTCTAACATTCATCTATTAATATCAAAGCTAAAACGTTTATATTGTCATAAATTTTTGCCTTCTTAATGGTCAAGTTGATATTGCTCACCTACAATCAGCTTTCAGGAACACTAGAGAAACGTGTAAACGTGTTTATATTTCCATGCAGAAAAATACATATATATGAACATCGATTTTAAATCGTTAGCTAGTCGATAGTTACTTATAATCATAGACACGGTTTCTAAAAAGCGTATGCCACTATCGGGCTTGAGAGTATAAGTCTTCAGGTGCTTGTACATTGGGACAATAATGGCGGCCAGTACAACTTTCAAGTACTAGTCGCCACTTGGTGCCGTTCTACTGTCCACCGAAGCACCCAGTAACCCTTTAGACGAGGGCCGAGGCCAGTCTCATGAAAATTAATCGCGGTTGTCATTGATAATTATAATGGCCACCATTGCTTTCCCCTGTCCAAGCACCCTTTGCTTGTATCACTAATATAATTAATATAATTACACTATCATCATCATTGGCGGGCCGACACTTTACTCTCATGGTAATGCCAGGACTTCAGCAACAGAAGAAACACACTAAAACTGCTTGATAAGACAACGTCTTGCAAGCAGAGAGTTTACTTCACATTAACACTACTTAATAATACGTCGCACACTTAGATAAGACACCACAATTAAAGTATAGACTTAATAAGAGCACGCCGCACATTCAGAGCTAGCAGACGCCACAATAAAACTACTTAATAAGAGCACATTGTGCACTCAAAGAACATTTTTCATAACAAGACTACTTAATAAGAGCACGTCGCATACTCAGAGAGCACTGTTCCATAATGACTTCCACACGTGTTCTTTAAAATTACTTCTATTGTTTCGAGCTTCGCGAAAAGGTTTTCGATCGTCGTACGCTGCTCGGTTGTTGCAAAAACTTTAGACGTCGCAAGTTTCATGACGAATCAAAGTTTCACCATCGTAACATATACGTAACATGTTGTAAGTTCATGTATGTCCATGAACTTACCCCATACCCTGGCAAAAATTAAATGCATAGCATTCTCTGTTGAAATGAAATTTTATTTTTCCTGCGATCATATATCTTTCAACCGAGATGGATCTTTATTTTCCTCTGAATTAAAACCTGCGATAGTGAAGGTCATGGAACAGTTCTCTCGAGTGCACTATTTAAGAGGCCGGGAATTTCCCCGCTTTGTGTTTCATTATAAATTGGCAATCGTAGGAAACATCCCAGCGACTCACCGCTGAGACCTCACGTGTCCAAATGTGTAAAGGCGTCCGAACCTTTCTTATATTTTGTTGTATTTGAGTTCTTTTCTTCGCCGTCTATTTCAACTTTTATATCACGTCGCGTCTCCCACGTTCGTCTCATCGAGATGTGACTGCTGCACGCAACAAATCCACTAAAATGAATACGGATTTTTCATAATCGTCATGCATAAACGGATTTTAACCATTTGTATGCATATAGATATTGTTTGCTTAAGCTTTTTTCAAAATTCTTACGTAATTTGAATACGCAAAATGTCGACGCCTGCACTGACCTGATTAGCGTTATTCGGACTAATATAGGTATTCTATAAATCCTCGATTATCTGGATAATATAACTGAATTCAGTGAACAGATTGAGTGCTAACTGAGAGCTAGTAAGATCATGATAAAAAATGTTGAGTATACATTACAAAGACATACAATTTTGAATAGATTTACGAATAATAATATATAAAAAGAAAGGATATCAAATCGAGTAGTATATTACCTCCACAGGAGGCATGATGTGATTTAATGCTGCACAAATCAACGTGATTCACAGTACCCTATGAAAAATTAGTCATATCATTACTGACGGCCGCCTCTCACCCGCCTAAGATTCTCTCTGCACTCAATTAGGTTATCTTCACATAATTTTTGAGGACCGGTAAAACGACATTAATAATATGAAATAAATAATAAATACAACATCTATTACTTCCTCTACTTGTACTTCATAAAGTCTCAGAAATATCAAATTATGAACAAGTTCACCTATTGATTAATTGCAACAATTATAATATCCTATAACATACAACAATTAGAACATGTCAAGATTTCACAAGTCGACTGAAAATTAAAAGCAGTAAAATGTAACAAAGTTCCATTGAAACCAAGTATTATTAACAAATAGATGCAAATTACAAATACAATTTAAAACAAAACAAATATAATATCAACAAAAGCCTCTTAACGACCTACATAATTAGGTACAAATGCCAATAGCGTTATATAACACCAGCATATCCAGCACAGTAGCAAATTAATTATAAATAATTTTTAGGTAATTTCCGCAGCCATGGGCAAGTTTCCGAGGCTGGCGTCAGGTTCCGAGCTCCGCACTAATATCCTTCATGTCTTCGCTACCTTGAATTTATCTGTACAAACATGGTAGGTCGATTTTTTACGTTAAAAGTATCTAAAAAAGTATCTTTACGTTAAAAGTATCGATTTTTTACGTTTAAAATTTGTGTTTGTTCGAACTTAGTTAAAAGTATCTTTCAAAATTAAAATTTGTGTTTGTTCGAACTTAAAAGTTTGCCAGATTTTAAATCAGAAAAGGTCCTTTTTGCCATATGTAAATAAGAATTAAATAATCCCATGGCGAATGACAGACGTTCAACTAAGACAGATCACACAGCTCGAGGACTAGCGACACACAACATGTATACGTTTTACACAGAAGACAGCGAGACTGAATGTGTACACATGAATGATCAGGGCCTATACTTTCAAAAAATGTTAAGAGATCGTAAGTTCATCAGCCAATTAATGACGGCCTTTCAAGCCAAATCCACCAATCATAGACAAGAAAATAGAGCGTAAGTACTTACGTTCACTTAGCGAGTTTTGAAAGTATGGCACCAGAGGTTCAAGTTCTACTTTGGTTGTAAGTACAGTTGCTGCAGCACAACATTTACAGCGATACCAGCCATAGCACATCGATGATGCGTACAGAAACTGGGTGCCAGACGTACTAAACTTCTAATTGGTACTTGCAGCTGCTCTGTGTTCTCTTTGTGCTACCAGTACCAGTCGTTATTCAAGGGTAACATATGCTGCTGGTAACGCGCGTTGCTGTGTGAACCCATATGTTGCTGGTAACGCTCGTATATTTTTAACACAAATTTTAATTTTGAAAGATACTTTTAACGTAAAGTTAAAAGTATCTTTCAAAATTAAAATTTGTGTTTGTTCGAACTTAAAAGCTTGTCAGATTTTAAATCAGAAGAGGTCCCTTTTGCCATATGTTAATAAGAATTAAATAATCCCATGGTGAATGACAGACGTTCAACTAACACAGATCACACAGCTCGAGGACTAGCGACACACAACATGTATACGTTTTACACAGAATACAGCGAGACTGGATGTGTACACATGAATGATCCGAAGTTCAAGTTCTACTTTGGTTGTAAGTACAGTTGCTGCAGCACGACATTTACAGCGATACCAGCCATAGCACATCGATGATGCGTACTGAAACAGAGTGCCAGACGTACTAAACTTTTTAGTACTTTCAGCTGCTCTGAGTAATCTTTGTGCTACCGGTACCAGTAGTTATTCAAGGGTAACATATTTTACTGGTAACGCGTGTTACTTCGTGAACCCATATGTTGCTAGAAACGCGTGTTACTCCGCGAACCCATATGAGGCCGGTAACGCGTAATACTCCGTGAACCCATATGTTGCTAGTAACGGACGTTACTCCGTGAACCCATATGTTGCTAGAAACGCTCGTTACTCCGTGAACCCATATTCTGCTGGTAACGCGCGTTACTCCGTAAAACCTATGTGCTCCGAGTAACGCGCGTCACTCCGACTCAAGAATTACCTCGAATACCCTTGATGTTACTGGCGCAAACGTTGCATTAAGTGACCCAAGTGTTACCGACGCAAGCGTTACCTCATGTAATCCAGATGTCACTGACCCAAACGTTACCCTGGGTAACCCTAGTGTTACTCAAACAAACATTGCCTCGGGTAACAATATTGTTATTGATGCATGCGTTACTTCTGGTAAATTTTGGTGCTGCATGCTAACTCAAGGATTACCTCGAGCAGCCTTAATGTTACCTTGGGTAACGCTGGTGTTAGTGACGCAATGATTACCCTCGGGTCAGATATTTTTAGCTGCAGTTTAGTTTTCTTCTGCTAGGATGGAAGACATGCACTAATGTTATTCCCGACCCTTAAATTCACACATAATTATTTATTTTAAGTAATTGTTGACAACAACCCATGCGAGACAGGAAATAACAAAAATGCGAATGCGCATGCCAGCAGATTTTAATTTATGGGAAATTAGAGCGAAGTTCGGCCGTAAATAATGAATACAGTTGATATAAATCGCCCTGATTTTCTGGAATAGAATCCTATTCTGCAAGTCCAATAGAATCATATGCAAGCAAAATATAACAACGCATTTTATTGCTAGTTTTCCATGAGATACAAACTCAACCTAAATGCCATTTAAAAACAACGTTTGCACGCAAAATTATTAGTTACTGTTAAACCTTAAAAGAGCTGCGTCATACATGCGTAAGGTGAGGCCTAATCTCATCCATTGCATTTACTACACGAGCCTATTTTACCTGTGTACAGTCGAGTTATTGAGTATAATAGATTTATCTAGTGCATCTTACATATAGAATGCATAGCTTGTTTACTATCTAACAAGACACATAAGATTCCTTAAATATACTTGCTGACTAAACACGTATATAGTACACTTATGTCATGTAGTTAAAGGAGATGATTAGACGGGCTCTTTCCACCAAGCATGGCTTCAAATCATCTATGTTATATGATCTCATTCTGCTCCATATAGATCATCAATAAAGTACTGTTAAATATCCTAGATCCCAGTCAAATATTCTGAGTAATATTCGCATACATTGGATAGTGTTAAGTATCCAGAAAAGATTGCATGTATCTAGTATATAAAAAAAAGTTCCAGGAGACCAGTTGAATATTGTGGACACCATCTTAAAAAAACTTGAAGTTGCCGATGGGAAGTATTGGGATATGGAGCAGTCAGCAATGAAATTGCAACAAAACAAAGACTAGATGTACATTGTAAAGCAAAACGCAATCTGGTTGTTATCTTCACTTGTGTGATATCTTCAATGTTCAAAAGATTATCAGGATTTTATATTAAGTTGGTAGTTGTGCAACAATAGACACAATTGTTGTGGGTATGACTAGACGCACCAAAAAAAGATGCAATAGTATTGGATTCACCCAGAAGAAGATCAGAGGTCAATTATAATTTGAATTCGGGCTGAAGTAGTGAGGATTTAAATGGATGAATTTATATCAATCCTGATTCCGGGTGCACGGGTTCTGGTTTGAGTGTGTCCGTTGTGCTGGAGGTAGACGTCGCTGTCGTAGTAGGTTTGTCCGGTGTTGGTATTGGCGCACGAACCGCTGAGCCACGCTTGTTCGCTCTTGTCGCGTTCACAGCACGAACAGAAGAGGCACGTCAAGGTGCGCTTGAATGCCTCACGGAAATCCCTGTTGAAATACGCGTAAATTGCAGGGTTTAGCATAGAGTTAAAGTAACCGATCCAGAAGAGGATGCTAACCACAATGCCAGGCACAGGGCATGTCTCTTGGCCACACAGCGTAGCGATCACATACCACAAGAAGAAGGGCATCCAGCAGGTGATGAAAGCCCCCATAATAATGCCTAGGGTTCGTGCTGCTTTGTGCTCACGTTTCAGTTTTATTAGATTTCGTTCTCGAGCTGGTGAACAGTCTTGAGCATCGGTTGAGGTTCGATGTACAAGCAGGCGGCGGCCTCCACCTTCCATGTGGGGAGGGGGTTCCAGAAGTTTGGCATTCGCCGCCAGAACCTTACTGACAGCCATTGATCCTGATGACCCCTGGCGGGATTTGGGCCCTTGGGGAGTTGTGGCTGTAGGGAGAGGGTCGCTCGATGCGAATGGTATTTGTGAAGCGCACGAAGGTCTCGCACGTCTGAGTAACATCTTCTCCTGTCTGGACGCCTCCTGGTAGATGCGGTAGTACATGTACAGCATCACAGAGCACGGCACCCAGAAAGAGATGGAAGACGACACGAGAGCGTATGTGGTATTAACTTCAAAACGGCAAACGTCGGGATGATCTCTCATGAATAGGACGTTTTCGGGTGTGGTGTACCACTCCATGAAGATAGGCAGGAACGAGATGATGATAGGAGCTAACCACACTCCACACAACATGAATGCCACACGTCGCTTTGTCATGACCATTGGATAATCAAGAGGTCGGACGATGGCGAAATGTCTGTCGATGCTAATGCAACACAGATGAAGAATGGACACAGTCGATGCGTATACGTCGAACGAGTTCCACAAATTACACATATTATAACTAAACAGCCATTTACCCATCAATTCGACAGACAAGTTAAAAGGCATTGCCATTATGGCTACTAAAATATCAGCGATCGCTAGAGACACTACGAAGAAATTGGTGATTATCCGTAACTTGCGGTGCCGTATGACACTAACAACGACCAATAAGTTTCCTAATACCGCACATACGATTATGAAAGCCATCAGAATGCCTGTGATGACCATGAGTAAAAGGGATCTGTGTACGAACTCCTCTTCCTCTTGATCGCCGTGCATCCTCTCCAGAAGCCGATTGTTGCTTCCATTGTAGCTGTCGCTATAACTTTGAGAACTATCATTATATGACGGCCATTTCGAATAGTATTGTAGAACATCATTGGTGTCACTCTCATTCAGCGTCAAGTTATGAGCTGTTGGTGCCGAAGATGAATTCCCAAAGCTAGAGCGGTTCGAGAACTTCACTGTTGCCATCCCGCGATGTTAAATTCAGTGGACAAAAAGGGACTGGAGTTTGGGTTAAGTGGCTCTGAAGTCAAAATTCAAGTAGCGTGGAGATCAGAGGTCAATTGAAGTTGAAATTAGGGGTTGGTAAGACTGAAGTCAGGGGTCAAATAAATAAGATATGGAGAGCTTGTTGAGGGTAAACGTTTGGCTACAAGCAGAGATGTCCCGCTTCAATTAGATCCCGCTTAATGTAGAAGTTTGGTGGTGATAAAGTTACTAATCAAATGGCGCAGAAGTCCGGTATTAGTCAAGATTGTAAAAATATAAACAATGTCAGGGTCTAATCCAAGATGAATTCAAACAGTGCACACCAAAGGGAGAAGTTCGAGTTATCGAGTTCAGGTATTGAATGCAGTGGTATCCAGTATACGAAAAGAGCCTAAAGTCAGACTGGGGTAATGTTTCAGTTTAACTTTATTTAATTCGTTAGGTTCAAGTAGCGCGGGTAGTTTGGCTCCAGAGTAAAACTTTTATTAACGCTACGTTTGGCTTCAAGTTGCGCTAAAGTCAGACTTTTGGGGACGTAAAGTTAGGCTTCATGTAGCGCTAAAGTCCGAATTTTAGTAATGCTAAGTTTGGCTTCAAGTTACGCTATAATTAAACTCATTAGCTCCAAGCTGGACTTGAAGTAACACTTGAGTCGAGCTTAAGACCTTACTTTCTACAAAATAGAATCACAAACAAGAGACGTCAAGTTATCAGTAATGATTGAATTATGAACAAAAATTTGATATAAGATGAGCGTGTGATATTTATTCAAGTTCGGATATTCGTAAGGATAAACTATTTGTACTTTTTGATGTGTAGCAAGAGCTTTCATAAACTAGGTGAGGACGAACGGATACCCCAACAAGACTGAGGATTGAGCAGGAAATTCAACGCTTATGAGTACTTCAATAATCAACAAATATCATTCCACTTATCAACAGATGAGCAACAAATCAACACGGCAGAGACTCGAATGCCAAATTTCCAAGAAGTGTAGACTCAATTCATCAAGATGGCTCTTGCTGGAAGTAAAATTTGTCCACAATGTTCTACTGAAACGTCTAAGTTGTCGTACGCGCGTTGACGCTGCCGCCGCAACGGTGGCTCTCCAGGTCACAACCCTCACGGTGCCGGACGTATCTGCAACAATGAAATTGAATTAGTATTCTAGATTTCAGTTGAAATAGTCCGATTCTGAATGCCAGCAGGTTAGCCTGACGTTAATTGGGATAGATGAATATTCATTCTATTTATAACCTCGTTATTCCTAATCCCATTAAAAATGAAAAATAATGCATGCTTAATTAAAATATATTTGTTGAGACTCATATTCAGATAAAACTCCCATTCAACTCTCGAGTGGGTATTGGAAAAAAATATCTTGCGACTTTTAATTAAATATGTATAACTTATACAACTATACTGGCACCATAAATATGTATGACTTATACTACTATACTGGCACCTAAATATGTATAACTTATACTACTATACTGGCACCATAAATACGTATAACTTATACTACTATACTGGCACCATAAATATGCAAAACTAACAGCAATACCGACACCGTAAATGCAGTATGTAATGGTGGTTCGGCTTTCATTTCTTTTCGTATCGGGATATCAACAGGAGCTGAAATTATGTTCATTGTTGAATAATAGCAAGGATTTAAAGAGTTAATAGGAGTGGAAACGATATAAAAAGTTCATATCTAAATTAGTTTTGTATATCTTGCTCAAAGTTCCATGCTGAATATGAGATAAATGTTCTTTCTTTAATTAGAATAATTTACGTTCTACAAGTTATAAGTCGGGTTCAAGATGAAGGGATTCCAGATGAAGTTATCAGGATGATATTGAAAGTATAAGGAATACTGGGATCCTGAATAATAAAATGATAGCATTCAGGTTAATGGGATTAATTTTTAAACACAAAAAGGCTTGCGATCTCGGGCACCACATGAAATTGCCAATAAATCTTAGATGTCTTCATCTTTTTGCTCATAATCGAATCCTCAGTTTAACTAATGTAATTGTAAATATTTTTTGCGAACCTTTTGTTAGCATGGTACTTTTAATAGTCTATTTCTTATGCGCTCCTATGGTTTACTTGCTTATCAGACCTTTAGAATATAAAGATAGCCGACCACGTATCAAATACTTTCATGCTAGCTCAGTTGTTAACAGCCCGCGAAAAAACTGCCCGCAATATTTCGGTGCGTTAATTTATGCATTCTAATAACTTGTTTATAGTTCTGATGATTATTTATTATATATGAATATTATAAACATACATTGAAGTTTATATGGATAATATATTTATGTTTGTTCTTACAGATACAATTTTCTCATTCAATAAAAAGGAAATTTGTTGTCGGAACTGTGGTTATCCTATAAAACCTGAACGCGGACTTGCGTCAACTCAAACTCAACAAAACTGAAAGCGTTTTACAGTAATAATTTGTAATATTTCCTGCAATATTATTACACGGTTCATACCTTCATGGTTACATGCTTTCTACAACAACGTACAACAGACAGCGAATCCACAGAACCTATACAGCCTCTACACCACAGCCGCCACCTCTACACCACAGCCGCCACCTCTGCACCACAGCCGCCACCTCTACACCACAGCCACCTCTGCACCACAGCCGCCACCTCTGCACCACAGCCGCCACCTCTATACCACAAACTACCAACGAAAACTTGGTTACTAACTTCTACCGACGAAAAGAACTTCTACGACACAAAAAGAACGCGAGTCTTGGACATGAATTCAAATTAATTTTCCTTGCACTTGAGAACAAATCATTGATGGTTTGTTATCATTTGATAACAAACCATGTATCGAAAATGGTTTGATATCAAACGAAAATTATCATTTGATGGTTTCCGTTCCTGTGCCGGATGGACAGGACAAAATTGCCGTGATCTTCATTGGGTAAAATTGATTAAATTTGTTCAACCGAAAGGCTTGATATCATGAATGGGATAAGAAGAGAAATTATATTCATAAAATATCGTTCAAAAGTTTTATTATTCGCATACAAAAGCACGGTTTAATAGCTAACAAATAACTAAAAAAATATTCTCCCAAATTGCCTCTCAAAAACTCATGTTAATCGCATTCAACAGTTTGGCTTCCACTGTAAAAAGGCACTGAGAAATTATTCACGTAAGACATTATTAAAAACTTACAATTGATTACTTTAAACTATACGACATATCATCTAACAATACCAAAAGAAAACATTCTCAGGAAATAAATTCTTAATCTCCTTTCATTTGCTCTCAACTCTACGTCTTACGTCTTACAATCACACAAAGAAAACTTACTATCATGAAATATCTTGAACAAAAACTCTCCTGTTAGCGAATCTTATTAGGTTTACCTAAGGAATTTTCTGTACCGAAGAGAAAAGGACTTCTGAGCTAACTTTCAGTCAAATATTGAGTTCTGAGGAACAATTTTTCTGTGCAGCGTATGTATAGTAAGTCTTTCAGAGAATTCAACAGAGCGAGCGTACGAAAACAAATAAAAAAATCTTCGCATATCTGCAAAATATTTCCCAGTTGGAAAAAATGAGTTTAAAACTCACATTCACGGACGTGCAAGAATAAAGATACTCAATAAGCTCTAAAAAAATAATACGTTCGTTTTGGCTCTGAGCAGAGATTGAATTTACCTGCACTGCGCATATTAAATCCCGCAAATCCCGTTGTGCATTTAATAGCAACCAACCAATGGGCAGCTATCAACTGATTATCGTGATTAATAATTGCATTTACAGTCTGCTTAAATAATTAAAGAGAAAGCCAGGGGCAATGATCAATTAATTGAATAATTATGTTTGAATTGAACAATTAAGTGTGATGATGACGTAATTGGCTTTATTAGTTGGCTTGAATGCATTTAATCCATGAACAATGGGCAACTTATTGCATCGTTAGTCTGTTCAAACTGAAGATTAATCGAGGGCTATGTTCATCCAACACGAACATTCTTCATCCAAAATACAATGTTCATGTAACATGAAATATCTTCATTCAGCACAAACAATGTTCATCCAACTTAAAATATACATCGCATACACAAGTCGATTCTTCAATAAAGAGTATAGACGATGGGCATCTAATAAATAAAAAATACAATGTTTATTCAATATCGCTCGTCAATGAAGAAGTTGTTGATCCTACACATGCGGTGTCCGTACAACACTGAATATATTCATGGAATGCAGACAATATCATTCAATGCAAACGACGATCATACAAATACTGCTCTGAGAATCAGATGATAGATGAAATTCGTCTAACAGGAATGATGTTCACTAAACATCGTGAAGCCTGAGTGACTCTATTTAATGACTTCAGTCATAAAGGTAAAGTGACTCGAAATTTAATAGGATGCTTGAGCGAAATGACTGAAAATAAGTGAATATATATTCACTTATGAAAGTAAATATATATTGAACGACTATTTACAATGATTGTGCTTTGAAATCATGTTCATGTGAATGAAATAACTATCATCTAATGCTCTAATCGCACAATGCAATTACTTGAAGTTTGTATATTATGTATAAATTAAATAGATGTCTTCTGTGCCAGAAAAACTGAAGTATAATATTTATTACAGCAAAAATCTAAGTCAACAATGTATTTCCTTCCACAATGGAACAAATTTTAGAATTTCCTTGACTTTATCCAATATGGTGGATGAAAAAACTAGCAAGAACATAACATTAAAACATCATAACAGCCCAAAAAATTTAAAAAATTTTCATCCAAAATGTCAATTAATATGCTTGGAAATTTTCATCATAAATAAAAATTATTATGTATGTCTGCGATCAGTTAACGGCCTGGTTATAGCCGCGTATGACTCACAATTAGTGCGTAATAGGGCGGTGCAGAATAATTGTTGTGAGAAGAAAGGCTTGTTTCCCATTTACGTGCAGTCGATTATTACTGAGCAATTGACAAACCATGAGATATGCCGTTAATATATGCGGCTTCCACTACAACACATCACGTGCGTGAAGTTTTTATTCATGTCAATTTAAATGAATAATTTATTATATAACCGTAATGGTAAAGTTTTAACTCGAACACCAATGAGTGTAATAGATGAATTTCTCGGCGATTTTCGTCTTCTGATAGTCAAGCAATAAATATTCAATGTTCTCGATGAATGGAAATTAGTTTAAAATTCTAACGTAATCAGAGGTGGATAAGTCTACGGACTACACACCGATTGTTTGAGTTACTCGGATGGAAAAATCTACGGGTTGCCGACAAAAAATTTGACTATCTGATTATGAAACGTCTGCACACACTGCATAAAAAAACCATGTAATGATATGCTGCGAAAGAAAAGGAAGAAAACTGCATCGCTTCACGGGATGGGCTAAAATGATTACTTTTTAAGCTTCGATTTTTATCAGACCTATTAATGGAAATTGAAGTTTACATTGACTTTTATTTCGAAATAAAATTTCATTTCGATGCAGGATAACCAGTGAAATTTCCTTTTAACCTCCAAATGAAATAAAGAAAAAGTCTTATAAATATTCCTTATAGCTAAACTTTTCACTTTTTCAACCGAATTAGCAGAATTATTTGAACAAAGTTGAATTACTGATACACGATAGCGCGAAGAATATTTTGAATTATTACTCTATATCGTTATATATTGAATTGTTACTGTTCCATCCCCGTGTACCGGATACATAATCATGATTAAATACAGGAATCTCACACCAGAAATCAACTCCAGAAGTGATCTTGCCTGACTAATCATATGACGTAGATAAGTCATATGACGTAGAAGTAGTAATCCCTTGTCGATTAACAAAGTTATTGCGGTTACGAAATACTCTAGTCCCCACCATCCTGCCCTTGCATCCTACGCACAACAACTTGATGTGTGCCAAGTTGCAGTCAAGTTTCAAGTTGAGTCCTCGAGCGGGCGTTAACTTTGACAGATGCAGCATTCAAGACAGACTTATCGTCCAAAGTTACGGCAACTTGAGCGCCCCAACTTCAGAGCTTTTCCTTCTTCCTGAAGGAACCTCCTGAACTGTGTGCCGTAACCCTGCATCCTTATCGACCTCCT